TAAAATAATAAATAAAATGACATAAATCGAATAAACAAACTTAAATTAAACTGAGTAACATTAAAAATAAAATGAAATTAAATAAAATCGAATAAAATTAAAGTTAAAAAGGGGATTACAGAACAAAATAAATTAAAACAAAGCAAAAGAAAAATAATATAAAATAAAATGTAATAAATTAAAAAGCACAAAAAATGTTAAATAAAATAAAAAATGCAATTAAAATAAAATAACAAACTAAAATAATATAAAATACACTCGGAAGCTTGACGGCAGGGTGACAGTAATTGGAAAGTTAATTAATTCATTTTCCATCATTTTGAATGTTTTTCCAAGTTATGGTATGTACCTCTTCTAACCTCTCGGCTTTTAATTTATTATTGAAGTTAATAAGTTGAAATAAATGTATAATATTATGTGATATAATGAAATAAATTAAAACATAATAAAATTAAATTAATTTACTTAAAATAAAGTTAAGTTAAACAAAATGAACAAAATAAAACAAAATAAGGAGATATAAAATTTCAAAATGAACGAAAAAAAATACATAAAAATTTATTATCTTTTTTTTATAATTCCAATTTTCACCCTTTTTTATATTAAAACTCACTATTTTTTTTTTTATTCGTGAATCGAATGTGTTCCAACGAACTTAGCTTGCTTTTTTGAACTATTTTTTTTTTGCTGCGGATTTTCTTCTTTCATGCTGAGTTCAAAAATTTCCCAACAAACACCAATGTACGTACACAAAAGTATGATGACCGAACAAAGCTATTTGTCTCGCTCTCACTTATATACATACATATCATATTAGTCTGTATACGTAAGTATGTACCAGCACACTCATTTTTATCAGCATTAGCACTCAATCAACCACACCACCAATGCTTGCCCCTGCAACCCACTCGATTTGCAAACAATCTGCCTAGCACTTGATTTGGGTTCAGTTGCGTTTAATGAATGGCAAAAGTCGTCTGCTTGTGTGTAAGTTCAATGAAAATTCGGCCACTTCAAATGCGGCACTCAACTTATGTATGCTGCCCACCCAACGCGCCTGCAGCTATAATATTATGTTTTCACTTCAACGCACACACACACGCATATACACTTTCCTCTTATATCTACTTGGGCGAAATTCGACTCAACTCGGGTTTAGTGAAGTTCTTTCTTGTTTTATTTTCTTTCTTTTTTTCTTTGGCGCTCACTAAACTCACTGAGCTCCTCACTCAGCGCACGGCACACCACTGCGTATACGTAAAATTTGTGGTTAAAATATATGTTTTCTTTTTTGGCGAGTATTTACTGTTTGTATGTATATGTATGTGTAAAAGTTTGATTCAATCAGCTCGAAGCAGAATTTATACATATATATATATATTTGCATTTAAGGGCTGTCTGTTTTGCTTTTACACACAATAAATGTGTCTCATGGCCTTAGAAGCAAAACATTTCATACAGATAGTGTTGTTATGAGTGTGTTTGTGTTTGTGTTTTAAAAATTCATCTGTAGCATTTTCTTAACTGCATTTAACTGCACAATGTTGTTTGTTTGCGTGTGTGTGTGTGTGTGTGTGTGTGTGTGTGGGTCTTTTAAACCATTTAACTCCGGCACTCTTCTCTTTCTTTTACATTCCACCCCCCCTCTCTCTCTCTCGCACTCTCTCTTTCTCTCTCTTTGAGTAGTTTGAAAGTCAAGTCAGCAGTAAATGACATTTATTTCCAAAGTTGTACGGATTTAATAGAATTTCTGCAAATGGCAAATTGTTGCCAGTGTAAAGGTCATAGTTCATCATCATACACATCCACACATACTATATATGTACAGGCATATACTTTCATATATTTTTGTGGCGCATATTGAAAGTTCAATGGGTAATTAGCTACTTGTTTATGTAGTAGGTGGTGGTGTAATAGAAACGTCTTGAATTATTTACCGTTATAGCTTAATAATTAAGCTATTAAATTGAATACTTTAATGCCAAAATCAGGCATAGTAAATGGCATTCACGAATAAAGTGTTTGAGGATTTTTTTTTAATTATAATACTTAAAGAAGAACAAAGTTTGGCTTTGTCTTAATTGTATACCACATCTCTGAGAGTAATTTAATTGAACCATGAAGACGCCGGCTGTATTAGACAAATAGTTAACAGTGCGTGCTATCATGCGGAGGTTTTAATTTTTTTTTTTTTTTGTAAATTTTAAAATAATTAAAAACTAATTTCAAAATCATTTCTCTAAATGCGGTGGCCTCTCGGCAGAGAAATTTTTAATCCCAATCCCTTCGAGTGCGCCTCGACTCTGCATAAGCTCATAAATCTCCACTAAAATCTATATGCCGTTCAGAGAAGATGAGAATTGTCTATAAAAGAAGTTCCTGACGATGACGGCATATCCGTTAGCATATGTACCTCTTTTTTTTTTTTTGAAGCCGGTAGAAAAATTGGTACCAAAATTTCTGAATCCTAACGGAAAATCCTTATGAACATTACTCAGGAATTATTGAGTACCGATACCGATTTCTATAAAAGGGTCATAAGTGACATGAAATCAAGGCTTTATGGCCATGTCATAGATACCAAAGTCGAATCATACCATTTAGAAGCACTAAAGAAACAAAAAAAGTGAAGAAAGCACGTCATCATGATTTTTCTTGCTGTTATCTTTCATTATAATACCATAGTGCTGCATGAGTCCATATCACAAGGTTCTAAAGTTAAAGCATATGATGAACACTCGGAACTTTTCTGTAATAATACATAGATTTTCGATCACAGCAACACCGCTAGCCACTCGTCATTAGACTAGGTTATACTGAGCAGCTGCTACTACATTTTTTAGTGCTTCTCAGTATCAAACGGAGGTTCAATTTTATTCTCGGTAAAGTAGACTTCTGTGTGGTCATAAGGGGGGGTTTGAAACATTAGAGAGCCTTGATATTTAGCTTTGAAACTACTTCTGGGCCTCTGGCGAAATCTAAATAATACCAGACAGAAATTGTGGGTTCATGGACGCGAAAAAATTAAAGCATATTAACCATAAATCCGTTATTCATCAACGTAACGATAGTCATAATAACAGTCCACTGTTTAATGTGGCTTCACGTTGCTTTTATAAGGCGCACAAAATGGTTCGAAGAAGAGGTTATAGTGGTCGAGCTGAGTAATTTGACCAAGAAACCATAAATACTTCTGAGATCAGATATAAGAATTTAACCTCTTTATTCCATATTCATGTATCTGCCATTGCAAGCAGTTTTCTCAATTCCAACAAAAACAAATGCCAATAATTGAATTAAATCTCTTAGTATCGTGCCAGAAAGGCTGAGCTCAAGAAAAGTACATCGGAGTAAAAGATAATCGGAATGGAAGATAATAAAATTATTTGTCACAAAACCATCTATTAGATGCCAAAAATAATATGCATAACGAATATATATTTCGTTAAGATTACCAAATGATTTAATTAGCGAAGCCAACCGTCTTACCTACCTACCTCATCCGAGGATTGTTCCTCAACTGAAGCTGAACTGAACGCAGACGCGATTTTCAGCCGAGCGCCTTCACCAATGTTTGGTGATCTTGTTGTTGTAAAAAAACAGAATATTTACAACTACAGCTTGCGAAAACCTCTTGAACGAAGGAGCACGTACTCAAGCTCGAAGTAAAAGTTGACGACGTAAAAGTTAGTGACACTCACATTCGGCCATCGACATAAAGGAGTTCCTTCAATCCGCATACGTTAACCGGCTGCCTCAGATGCAAAGATAAACAAGGCGGTTGAGGGGTTCAAGAATTTTCCTACCATACAACATACATTCCGTAAGAGGCGACTAAAATCTAATAGCCTCCGTAACCGTCGGATCTTTATAGCGGAACGGTGTGGATTTTTAACCGGCCAAGGACAGTCACTCCCGCAAACGTTTTTTTTTTTTAAAGAACTTTGGGGAATATTTTTGCGGTTATAACAACCACAGCAACAAAGAAATATTGCATGCAACATATAAAGTAACTCGCGGACTAGCGAGACTCAAATGTAGAGTCTACTCGCACCATTTACAGGACCGTGACGGAGAGTACGTAGATATCAACGACGCATCACATGTACATCTATACCCACTGGACAGCACTACAAACGAATCAACACCTTCATGAATTATTTTTTTTCGTGAAGAGCATTGGAATCCAAGCTACACCCAAAACACACACAAGGGCTCTATCTACTACGAGAGTCCCGCCTAATACTGGCACTTTTAAGGTCTGAATATTGCAGCCGACTTAATTTCCAGCTATCCATACTTAACTCCGAATGTACCGCATGTAATCAGACCCTACCCGATACTAGCCACCTCTTGGCAAGCTAACTAACCCAACCCTCACCTATACCTCTGGGCAGAACCTGTCGAAGTAAGCCGTTTGCCGGACCTTTTATTAGATGAAAAAAATAATTATAATACAAATTTATGAGAAAAAATGTAAATCTTCCTTCTTTAGATGCCTCGTTCACGTATATCACGAGAAGGAGCTCTGCATTCTATAGCCTTATGCGCAACCTAAACGAAACTATTTTGAAAAATTTAGTGATTTTAGGAGTAAAAGCAAAGAACTAAAGAAATAAGTAAGTAATAAATTGAATTTTGCGAGAATGAAAAGTAATAAATAAATAAATGAATAAATAATGATCTTCAGCAAACTTCATCAGAGCTAAGCTCAGCGCTAATAGATTTCTATTTTTAGCTCGCACTCTTTTGAATTTAAGTACAATACAATGCCGACAGCGCGCTGCCTCCTCCTCAATCATTCGCTATTTACTACATACATATTTATATATTTTAATAAGTATAAAAAAGGTTTAAAAGCAAGTTTTACTAATACTAAAACAACATACAGCGCTGTTGCGCAGAGAAGAATTTTTAAATCCTCTTTGAAAACATACTTCAAGCACTTAAAAATTAATTTAATATTATCTTTAGTAAATTCCATTCGAATATCTACTCACCACTTTGCCCTGCAGTTTCCCAGACAGCCGTGTGCCAAGCGCAGTGGTGTTACGCCAACGCAGCGAGAAATATGCGAGCGCAAGCGAATTGAAAAAAAAAATGTGCAGATCAAAAAGTAAATAAAAGGAATGGAGAAAAGTGTAAGAAGAAATTTGTGAGCAAATAGAAAACTGTCAGTTACATGAAATTCTAAGTATCAAGCTGTGGAATCTCAACAACGCACAGCAATACCGTCATACACGTACGTACGGTAGGACGCACACGGCAAGTGAGAACAATGCAAACGCAAGGCTTTGCCCATCCACCAACCGTACAAACGACCTTACAACCAACCGACCAACCGATACTTACCACGAGCACGAACAACAACAACACCAGCAAAAACAGCATGGCTTTTGTGATTGTTGCTGTTGCTGTCGTTGTGTTGCCGTTGACGCCGCCGTCGTCGCCGCCGTTGCCATCATTGTCGTCGTCTCCGGCAGTAAGCTTGCGCCCGCATTCCCCGTTGAACCACCGCGCGAACTCGTTGTTGATGCGCCTAGCGCGCTTGTCGTACTCAGCATACCGCCCACATGTATGCCGCCCGTATTGAGACCGCCACTATTGCTGCCAATGCTGCCGCCACCTGTATTCGAGGTGCTACCGCCACCACCACTTTTGGACGCGGCCGCTACTGCTGCAGCTGCTACGATTGCTGAGGATGATGAGGAGCTCATGCCACGCAGGTGACATCCTGAGGGCAGCTCCGATACTGTACAAGACATACTGTGCCAGCAAACGGTAGTGGAAGTGTAGGAAATAAAGTAGTAGAAAATAAAGTTAAGTATCAAAAAACACATAGCAATCTCAAAGACGCGTAGCTTGTTGTAGATGCAAGTGTCAAATAGCGTGAAAAAAGAAACGTTAGCGCTACGTGGCACCGTAAGCGCCAGCTGACACTTGCACTCTATCACATTACTTCTCTCATATACTCACATAATTTATATAGTCCCTTGGCCTGTGCACGTCCTGCGTCGTCTTGTGACGCAAAGTGTCGACTCTCACCAGCACACGCTCGGTGTTGCACTCGCCCACCCCGTTCAGTACTTGGCGTTGCCTGTCAATGCGACAACGTCAATTTCCTTTCTATTCAGTTGTCAACGCTCGAGTTGCACTTTACAGAGAAAGAGTTTACCACCAGCGCACCTGCTCCGTCCGCGGATATACAGTGTACGTATGTATATTTGTATGCGCGGCTTAGATTTTATCTTCTTCAATCTCGACAGCTGTTGCTTCGTAGGTGTTTGGCAAGCGTGTGGGCAGCATGAAAAATGGGAAATTCATCCGCAAACCGCAAAATATCTGCAAAGCCAGAGAGTGAAAGAAGGAAAAAATTAATGAGTGGATAAAATGAAATTTCCTTTAGTTACTTGTAGGCTTATATAAAATATTGTAGAAATGTATGTATATAAATTGAAAACAAAATAATTGACCTTTAGAAGCCGCTTTGTCGGCTCTCGGCCGATGTTCCTTCTCCAATTTATCTGATTTTCATGAGAAATAATATATATAGAATAATTGACGCTTCGTAACCGCAGAAGCAATTTTTCGGCCGAGCTCCTTCTATAATTTGTCGTTTCGCGTCTTGATGTTTTTCCAACAAATGGAGGTACCTACAGTTTAAACCAAGCCGCCTCCGAATGGCTGATGGTTTTTTATGAGAAGGTTTCGGTTCAAGTCAGAAATACACGTAATGCTAACTACTCGGGTACCGCGGACGACGTCCATGATAAACTTTATATGTGAAAAATACCTTCGCACCAAAGTATTGTCATTTTTACAGCCAGGTATGGAACTCATGACTCATGACGTCGATCGGACTTAGTGGCAACATCTCCCTGAAGAGCGACTAAGGCGTGTGAAATTTCTGTCAGACGGGAAGTCTTATAATAAGGTCTGATATGAAGTCTTCTTTGTGGAAGAAGCGTGTGGCTTTTGACTGGTACTTAATGCAAACTTCCACCTTGTAAGAGATGTCGAAGACGACAGTTGCTGACATGTAGCTAGTATACTAAGCGATACCCACCTGGTGACTTCGGCTATATTCTGACTGGTCTGGGAAAAAAATCTTCCATGACATGACATTTTGAAGCCGCCTAAGTCACCTAAAAGTTTAGTTTTCTGCCAATAAAATTGGTAACAGTCCGGGTTGGGCGGAACGTGCCGTCGTGGGGTTTAGTAAACATCTCGGGAAGTAAAAAGGTGACGGAAACTATATTCTCTGGAAAGCCATCCGCCTTAGCAGAAAGGCTAAGCTGAAAATCCAATAACAGGTGTGAAGTTGGTAACCAGTATTCCGCCCTTTCAGACGAGAAGGACATGTCAAATCAAATCCATCTGCAGGGGGTTGATAGGGTTAAGCCTGCGCAATAACTGGTAAATGATCCGAGGTCGTTAAATACGCAGGGGGTGACAGAGAGTACTGGTAGCCGGATTGCTGGAAGGCTGCCCCCAAAACGATCATTAAGCCTAATAAGACTGGCAACTGGCTTGGAACTTACAAAGACACAGATTAACTGTTTCTTCTAAGTGGTCCCTCATAGATCAGCGTGCAAAGTGTTTTTTCCAGCAGCACAGTGAAGGAACGCAGGTCGTATGCAGAAACAACTTTTCAATTTAACTACGACATAATTGACGCAGTAAGACAGAAGGGAACATATCAACTTCACAAGAGAACTTACCTTAACGGCATCGTCAGGCAAGCCTGTTTTCCATATTGACATTGCTTGTTACCAAGAAAGTGCCACCAATTATGCTGTGGTACAACTCTAACCAAATCGTGACCAAGATTTCTATAAGCTGCTTAAAATATAACCTTAGGAGTAGGATGACTGTAATTTCGACAAAATCCAAGCAGAACAAGAGTCTGAAGACCAGTCTTTGAGGGGTATACTAACACAAAGACATTCTGGAAGAAGATGTTTTAGTGCTTGGTTGAACCCATACACATACTATCAGGTGTACAACTTTGCTTCCGCCGTTTTTTCCAAAATTAACAGCTTTATTGCGAAAAAGTGCTTACAGATATATTATTCAAAGTGTTGTCCTTCGCTAGCGACAACTTTCTTCCATCTTTTCGGCAATTTTCGGATACCGGCTCGAAAAAAAGAGTCTTCTTTTATCGCTATCCATGAAGCAATCGATTTTTCCAATTCTTCGAAGGATTGAAAATGTTGATCTGCCAGGCCGTGTGCCATCGAACGGAATAGGTGGAAGTCAGAAGAGGCGACATCTGGGGAATACGGCAGGTGGGGCAAGACTTCCCATTTCAGCGTTTCCAGGTACGTTTTGACTACTTTTGCGACGTGAGGCCGAGCATTGTCGTTTTGGAGGATGACTTTGTGATTTCGCTCTTGATATTGTGGCCGCTTTGCTTTTAGCGCGCGACTAAGGCGCATCAGTTGCGTTCGGTAGCGATCTCCTGTGATGGTTTCACTCGGTTTTAAGAGCTCGTAGTAAATCGCACTTCAATGCAATGCTTCTAGTTGGTCATCTTTGAAGGTTTTTTTCTCTTCCACCACCATGTTTGTCTTCGACATCGAAAACACCATTTTTAAAACATTGAAACCACTCCCGACACGTTCTTTCACTCAGAGCAGCATCACCGTAAGTTTCTGAGAGCATTCGATGCGCTTCAGCTGCATTTGTTTTTTTCGATTTGTAACAGAAAAATAAAACTTCCCGCAAATGGCGAGAATCAGGCACATAAACGGACATTTTCGAGCGTGAATAATATGAAAACAAGAAAAACACAATTCGTCAGGCACTGTCCACACTCACTTTAAAGGCATTATCATCTATGTACAGCCACCTATCGGAAAACGGCGGAATCAAAGTTGTACACCTGATAATTGCTAGAATCAATCGGGGGTAACGCTATTCTCTACTGTTCAACTCAAGACTTCACAGGAAAAATACCCCTTTGCTAGTGACCCTTCTGGGTAGAGCAGCGCTGGGTAGATAACCATACCACAACCCACCCAGTGGCTCATAACCATATAACTGGGCGTTCCGGAGATGGTGAGGAAGGAGAAACAAAACAAAACAGCGGTGAAGGGATTCCAAAATTAAACAGATGCGTTGAGTCACTAATTTAAATACTCCTCAAGCAGAATTTTTTCATACCTTCATTAAGTCCAGCAAATACTGCCAGGTAGTTACCTACAAAGCTATAATCATATAGCTCACATCAAGCGAGTTCAGTAAAAGAAAAACTCAGTTATGTTCAACAACCCCTTCAATTAAAAATACACATATATAAATGCACACATGTTGACACATTTATTATTCTTTAATCCACACATTGCTTGCATCAACATCAGCCCACTCGATCACCTACAGCCGACAAAAGCATCAAGCCCTCAGTCAATCATTCCTCAAGCAAAGCAAAATGTACAAAACTCATTGACAGCATAATGAAACATTGTTTTAAGGTGTGTCCCATTGAATTTATGCCCCACAAATAAGCAAATAAGCGAGGAAGCAATTTGTGTGCGCTGCTGGATGTTCAATCAGCTCGAGTAGAAAATCCACGGTACGTGTGTAAGAAATTAAGAGCAAAGGGATAGAACAGAACAAAGTTAAAATCAAAGTGAAAATTAAAATTAAAATTAAAATTCAAATTCAAATTCAAATTCAAATTCAAATTCAAATTCAAATTCAAATTCAAATTCAAATTAAAATTCAAATTCAAATTCAAATTCAAATTCAAATTCAAATTCAAATTCAAATTCAAATTCAAATTCAAATTCAAATTCAAATTCAAATTCAAATTCAAATTCAAATTCAAATTCAAATTCAAATTCAAATTCAAATTCAAATTCAAATTCAAATTCAAATTCAAATTCAAATTCAAATTCAAATTCAAATTCAAATTCAAATTCAAATTCAAATTCAAATTCAAATTCAAATTCAAATTCAAATTCAAATTCAAATTCAAATTCAAATTCAAATTCAAATTNATTAAAATTAAAATTAAAATTAAAATTAAAATTAAAATTAAAATTAAAAAATTCAAATTCAAAATCAAATTCAAATTCAAACTCAAATTAAAATTAAAAATTCAAATTCAAATTCAAATTAAAAGTATTAAATTATTATTAAGTTAAACTAAAACAGAAATTAAATTAATTTAAATAAAAAATTACAAATAATTTAACGGAGGAATAAAAGTGAAAAAACTCCAAGAAAAGAAAAAAAGTTAATAAACGTGCTGGCCATAGTGGATAGTAGTGGACTTGCTACCAATAAGCGAAACAAAATATCAGTCAATAACTATTAAATGAATGCACTGGACACAAAGCATAAAACCCAAAGCACAATGCACAACGGACAACAGACAGCAGACCACATTGAACACTGGACACTTTCTATTGGGCACCGAGCATAGGATTACATGGTGTATAAAGAGTGAATTGAGAGTGAATGTAATGAAAGACAACAACAAAAACAATGTAACAAAAATTGATGTCGAACAGTCTGCGAGTATATACATACATACATACGTTTGTATGTATAAATAGGTTTAGTATGTAAATTTGTTATTGCAAGTGTCCTTTCGATGGCACTAACCGCAACAACTCGGTTGCTAAACATTGGATGTACTGAGCAATAAAATTGACTTCCATCGCCTGACTGAACTCAAATCCAATGAATTTAAACTGTTGCTGGTGAAAGATGGGCGATGCAATAAACTCGCATACATCTACAATATATAAACGTATACATATATATATACGAGTACATATATATGTATGTACATTTACGGCTTATGTTGAGGGGTCAGTAAAAAGCTGGTTAATCTTCAGGATTTAATATTTATTTAGTTTGGATAAAATGGTTGTTAAGTTTTTGTTGAAGCAAAAAAAGATTTTTTTAAGTTGAATTTTTTTTTTTCAATTTCTGCAGTATTAAAAAAATTTATATTTTTATAAAAAAAAATTAATTAATTTCACGAAATGTGATTAATTAAATTTCTAATTTCTAAAATTTCATAATTATGTGTAGATATTAAGTAGAGTCAGAGGTAATCGGCCATTTTGGACTGAAACTAAACTAAATTCGACTGTAACCGAACATTGGTCCCTCAGCTGATGTTTATATTAAGTCCACAGTGGATCCAAAAAGGTCTTAAATTTAGGGTCCTTTGTATGGGATATAGGTCTATTTGTAACAGTATCTCAGTAATTTTTGTTAGGACTTTAGTCCTCATTACAAGTAGCATATCTATCTAAGTTTCGTTTATTAATACGAAAAATAACCGTTCTTTGAAAATAAGAGGTCCGTTATATAAGACAAAGGTG